ATAGCAGAAGAGTGGTGGGGCATGGTAAGAGTATTATGTCTTATATCACGTGTATGAACAGCATTACGGAAAATGATTTTTTTAAATAGATCTGCCGCCAATACTTGAAGACCTTCCTCTTTTTTTAAGAAACCAGATGAGGCTAATGCACGATGGTGCTTCCCCACATTTTAGCTTACGAGTGTGTGAATTTTTAAATTACACCTAGCTTAGTGTACGCAATGTTGATTTAAAACACAGAAGAGTTACGAAATCGTAGTATGCTGCCAAACCATAAGAAACACCCCAGGAATCTTTGAAAATGTGCATCAGTCTATGCGAAGCAGAGTAGATGCTTGCTGCTCTCATACGTGTGGGTGGAGGACACTTCCAACAATTATTACTGTAAATAATTTAGGTTCCCTATTTTGTTTGTATTCTCTTGTCATTTCGCTTTAGATTTAAGATTTTGAATTTATTATTTGCTCAATGAAACGCGATTTTTAAAATAGAAATTAAAAAAATTAGAGGCGTACCGTTTTTACTATTCAAACATTGAATATCATGCCCACGTGGACGTCACTGGTGGAGGTAGAAAATTTAGTTTTACCCCCTAAAAAAAGTATGTCCGCGCATGGTGGGTGCCTACCAAATTTCAATAGCAGTTTCAATGATCTTAGGAAAAAAAAAATATGTTTTTAATTTTTATTTTTTTTACACAAAGACGGTGCGTCGTACGAAAGTTTATGGACCAATTTTGCTCCAAAATAAATGAGGATTTTAAAAATAGTTTTGGTTTTTAGAAAAAGTAGTGGCCTACCATTTTTTCTTCAAAAATATTCAGTTCAAACCTCGTACGGACGAAACTGGTATAAATTTTAAAACATATTTTACGTCAAAAAATGCTCCTTAATGATTAAGAAGTGTCTACAAAATTTCATTAAAAAATTAATAAAAAAGTAATTTTTTTCGTAAAACTGTAACACCATGTAGCTTACAAATTAAGACGCTCACGACATATGTTGATATGAACTTTTCTTCACACCCTTAAGAATCGGCACTCAATAAACACCCTATATTTATCATAGACAAGCTATACTGCAGCGTTTCCTACATCGATTTCAATTTTATTATTTTTCACATCATTTGCCAAATCATTAATTCTCTGCGGCACTGTGTTGTTTGATAAGAGCAAAAGATCCATTTTCTTTACCGCTTTACCACAAATATACTTCTTTGATATCTTTAGCACACGATCGAATAAATTTTTTTGCCGCTGTTAGGCTTTTCTACTGTTATGCTTTTCCACATCTTTGCTATTTTGTAACTAACTCGAAATGATGCATAGAGCATAGCCATTTTTCTAATTATTTTGTTTAATTAAAGCTAACCAAAAAGAAGAAACACTTTATTAGCTGCCAATTTTATTTTAAAATACTCAACAGATTTATCCTTGCAAGTCAGATCTCTTGTTTCAACGTCTCTACGAAGAAGTGATGGTTTTTAAGCGCTACTGTTGGAGATTTTTAATTACAAATTACACAAAGAAGTTTAGGTTGAGACTCCTCCGAATTTGTAAATAGTCACTGTCATATTTTTGCTTTTTTCTTTTTGTTCACTGTTCTTTTATTTTTTCACTTCATGGCGATAGCTCACTACAATTGTCTAAATCAGAGATGAAACAATAGATTTTTTTTTTTTTTTTTCGATTTATGGCCTAGGTGTATATACCTAATATGCCAGTCTCAAGTTTGTGTTTTAAATTCTCAATCATGTGTGTTCTATGTAGGCTTTGTTACTGTTTCCCAGCGCCACTTCAGGAACAGCACTGTTAATTAGAACCCAACAGTGAATGGTCGAGTGGGGAATCCTACCAAGGCATCAGAATTAATTTTAAATAATTAAATTAAATAAAAAAATCCCGGCCAACGGTGGGATTCGAACCTGGGACCCTTGGATCCACAGGCAGAGACTCTACCACTGAGCCACCCACCCCCCGAAACAATAGATGATTTCAACGAAAGACATCTAGAAGTAGCAAGGTCATTGGAAGATCTTTGCTCTATCTATAAGTTTACATAACAACTAATAAAATAAAAAAGAAAACTGTAAATTATTATTTTAGCAATCTGTTTAAGGTTACGGCGTCGGTATTCAATTTTTTCTTTGTTTTCTTCATTAGTTGTATGTGTTCAGTTTTTCACCATCTCTATCTACTTAGTGCCAGGTCCCAGAGTCTTCTTTTTCTTAGTCATTTGTCACGTCAAAATTTGTAAAAACAAAACAAATTAAGGTTACAACATCTGGTTTTGTTTTTGAATTATTTTTTGTATTTATTTTTAAAATACTAGCTTAGAAACACAAAGAAAATGATGAAAAGTAAAGTTAAAAGGTAGGTGTGCACCTTTTGTTTACTACTTTAAATTTTAAAGTAAATAGATGTATTTATCATTGTTGGGTAATGCAGCCGACACCCATTAAAAAAGGTTTTAATTTAACAAAAATCAGCCATAGAGAATTAACGCGCGCTTAGCAAGCCATGTAGATCTAGATTCTATATCTTGGCGATAGTGAGAGTGAAAACTGAGCCCATACAACTAAAGAAGAAGGCAAGAAAAAAAGAAGAAATTTATGCTGACGCCGCCGTAACTTTAGACAAATTGCCAAAATAATAATTTACAGTTTTCTTTTTTATTTTAATAGTTGTTATGTAAACTTATAGATGGTGCAAAGATCTTCCAATGACCTTGCAATTTCAAGATGTCTTCCGTTGAAATCATCTATTGGTTGATTGTCCAGCTTAACAAACTACCCATTTTTAACCAACGATGCTTCATAAATTTATGAAATAATATTTATTTTTACCGCAAATGCTACTTGTAGAATTTGCTTTTTTGTTGTCATTTATTTACTGGTAAAATGGTTTTTTAAATTCATTCAGTACAATTGATTTGGATCTACTCTTCCTTATATCTGTACCACAGATGTAAAGAATCGTATATCCACTTTTACAGATTTAGAGATAATGATGTTTAAAGTTTTAAAATATAATAATTATTTTTTTTATAGAAATTAATAAAATACAACATTTTATTTGTAAGTCAATTGACATATTTTACCTTACAAATGCCAATAAAAATATCTACCTGGTTAGAATTAGTGACACTTGCGATTCTTTACCACTGAATAAAAAAACAGGTAAATGTTAAAAAACTTAACTCCAAATAAAATATAGGAAATATTACGAGAAAATGTTTTAATGATTATAATTCTCATGTTTTTATAAAAGTCATGAAATTGAGAAGGTATCCACTCAAATAAATTTAAAAGATGTTGATGTTTTTTTAGCGCTTATACCTTTGAAAATTTTCCGAATTGCTTGCAACTCATGTGGAATAGAATTTTTTTTTCTGGAAAATCTATTGAAATCAACACTTTTAAATTCGTTATCGGTAAAGTCTGTTTTATAATAAAGCAGACCTGAACTTTGACGACGTACTTCTAGCCATACTGCTGATGAAATAAGAAAGTTTTCTTTTTCTGTATTGATTTTTCGATTAACAAATGGGGCATTTGAAGATGTGTACAAAAGATCAAAATTTTTGAAATCAGTTACTTCCATGTTCCAAAGTGTAGCCCCAGTTGATCTAATCAACTGTTGCCAATCCCAAGGTGTAGCTATCGTCATTGTTGGCTGCTTTTTTACGATCCGCTCAATCAAAGCGTGAACATGGTCTGCTTCCATATGAGTATGACCCCTGAGAAGTAACTTATGTATTACCGATTTCAAGGAGGGACAACTATTCAAAAGATAAAAATAGTTTACAACCATCATGATATTTCGATTTTGGCTTGGGCAATTGTCAGACCAAATTATCAATGTCTCTGTGTCAGAGTCTTTCACAACTTCGTTGGTCCATTTTACCAAAGCCGATGCAATTCCAACAACAGATTCATCCCAAACCATGCAATAAGCTTTTTTTTTCTGTGGCGTCTTATGTGGTTAAATTTAAGATCCAAAGCTTCAGTGAATAAAACCTTTTAGCGTTGGTTAGATGGGGAGTTGGTAAGCACTTTTGTAAATCTAACATGATAACCTTATTTTTTCCCGCCGCTACTTTATCTTGTTTCTTCCAGCTATAGCTAATTTCAGCATCTTTTAGGTGACAATCAATTTTTTCTTGAATGGTTGCTCGTTCTTCTACTGAGAGACTTTCTTGTAATGCCATTTTCAAACTATCGCACATATCACAAGTGTCATTCGAGGGTAGTTTAAATCCTAAATTAAACTCTGTATTGAAGATATGGCGATATACCCAAGGTTTAGCAATCTGACTTTTTGGAAGACCTTCTTCCTCACATTTGAGTTTGTACAGACTGAACCTCTTGTTTCTATTAAGTTCGCTTCCCAAGTACTTCCTTTTCTTATTTTTTTCACGACTATAATGGGTTTCATAAACTGGAAAAGACCGAATATTAGTGCCAATCCCTTAATAACTTCAGGCAACTTATTCTTTGGTTCGTGTCTCCCGCGCATGTCTTGTGAAACAAAGCCTCCTCTTTCTGATTTTTTCAATGCGTTTCTAACCACTGTCTCGGATATCCCTAATGTATTAAAAAAAAAACTTTACACACATTGATAATTTTTCTATCAGCTTCAAAGTTATAACCTATTGTCTGTTTTCTCTGTTCGTCTCTTGTGCCAGTTGACGGCTTCTTCCGTTTAATTGGAGAAATTTTTATTCTGGAAAGCACAAACTGTCGTTTGAGGTCCCAACTCTTATTTTTATTCCAATAGTTGTTGAATATTTGTTCACGATTCAACTCGCTAATTTTATCGGTACATTTTTTTCTACATGGGCCACAACTGCGTCTTATCTTTTTTGCACTAATATTTTTTCCCAGTTTGGAAACATGTTCTTTTCCTGCCAACATTGCTTTCTGTCTTTTCGTTACCTCCCAACCCGCTTCGTTTTTTATATGCTTTCTAGGTTTTCCTTTTTCTATAACTGGCTCAGTTTCTATATCAACATCTTCTCTTCTCTCTGATCATTATCAGTCTCATTTTCCATGTTGTTTGTCTCTTCATCTCTGTCACTTTCGTCTTCGCTCGTGGGAATAAATTCAGGATCATCATCACTATTATCCCCAAATGGTTCAGGTTCACTATCAACATAGTTTTCTTGGTCTGTAACTGATTTACTTTCTATGGCATTCTCGTCTTCTCGCTGATGATTATCTATCTCATTTTGCGTCATGTCCTTAGTCTCTTCATCTGTGGTATGATTTTCCTTCTCGCTTGTTTGAATAAAATTGGTTTTATTTTCATCAGCATCTCTTAACGGTTCAGGTTTATTCTCCATATTACTCTCCTCTTCTCTCTGATAATTGTATGACCTATTTTCCATTATGTTGTTTGTTACTTCATCTGTGATACTTTCCTCTTGGCTTGTGGCAATGAAGATCGGATTTTTCACACCATCGCTCTCAAATGGATGAAGTTCATTATCAACATGGTTTTTCTCAACTATTAGTATTATTCGTTCTTCTTGGTGGAGTGATTCTTCGAATTTATTGCTATTATCCTGAATTGCTGAAAAATAAAAAGAGTAAAAACAGGAGGAACCTAGGTATAGTTTCTTTAATGATGTGACTAAGATAATATTAATAATAATTATTATTATCTGATTACTAATTATTAATATTACACCTATTGATTACACCTTACAATTTTATCTAAACTATTTCTAATTACCTGGCACTGATTCTTCCAAGGAATTTACTCGAATAACATCCCTATCATTGATTGACGAGACGTTAGGCAATGGGCCATGTTCACATGTGAGATATGCTGTTTTATAAACTATATTGTAATAGTTAGTCGCTATACAAGTTATTCTAAATAATCAGTTCGTTAAAAAAGCTAAAAGTTTTTAAATTAAGCCCAATTGAAATTTAAAATTTGAAATTATACGTCATCGGGAATAGACCAATCAGCTTGTGTCAAAGTTTTTTTTGTTTTACAAAACCAAGCCAACGAACAAACCTACATACAGAATGTCGAAGTGAACGCACATCTAAGTGACATTTAAAAATTGACAGCACCTAACAACTAACCTTAGTTTTTTGTTTTGGTTTAATTTTATTATTAATCTGCATTTATCTGGGTAAATTATCCTGTGGGATATAGGATATATAAAGGAAGAAGAATATGAATTTATCAGCTGTATTTATAAAAGTTGAATCAAGTATTTTTCCCATTGTAAACGAAAATATGATTACCGAGATGATTACTGCATTTTTTAACAATACTCAGTTTCCAAAAGATAGAAAGGTAAAACTTTATTTATAAATTGTTTTAATGGTAGGTAGTTACAGTTTATATGAAGCAGTACACTTTATAGTAAAACATATTTATCTCAGGTTTTATTTTTAGATCTGCCAAGCAAGAATATGGAGATATTTACTTTTTCCATAAGAGAGAAGGAGACAAATTACACCTAAACATAAAGTACAGCAAAAACCTTATGATGTGGCTGTTTTTTAGTGCACAATGCTTAGGATATGTTGAATCTCAAGGTTTGTAATATTTATTATGCTTTTTTGTTTTTATATCACATATAATAAACAGTGTATAAGGCCCTTTATTCTTATAAATATTTTTTTTCTAATTTTGACATAAAGAGACATTTTTTGTAATCGCAGCAAGTGTTAAAATAATCTAGAAATAGATTTTGTTAGTGAACCTAGTAATAATTATGATACCAAAGAATGCTGCAGAGCACCTATGAAATTTTGAGTTAAAACATGCCATATTTTTAGGCTATTTTTATACCCTTTTCAAAAATTTTATGCTCCTCGTTTTATGCAAAACTTAAAATGCTCTGATAGCTTCGAACGAAGTCAGCAAAGCACCTCTGTTTTATAAAGTTTTTTCTGTAAAAACAGCAACACCATATATTTATGCACTTGAAATATTATATTTTTAAAAAATACATGGTGCTTGCTAACCTTCGAAAGAAGCCAGCAGAGCAATTCGGTTTTTTAAAGCTTTTTTCTAAAAACCACACCCCATTTTTAGACTCTTGAAATATTGTAAAACTTTACTAAAAAAATTGCTATTTTTAAATAATACAGGGTGCTTTGTTGGAACAAAGTCAGCAGGACACTTCAGTTTTTTAATATATAAAAACAACTACTTATGACACATGTTTAGGCTGTTTTAAAATCCTAAAAATGTGGTAAGTATATTTGTTTTCAGAAAAAAAACTTTGAAGTCAGGGAATTGCGAATTTTTTTTAAAAATGTCAAATTTCGAATATTTTATAATATTGTAGGAGCCAAAAAATGTGGTGTGGTTTAAAAAAAAACTGGGGTGCTCTGCTGGATTCGTTTGAAGCTAACAAAGCATCCCGTAATTTTTTATTTTATAATACTCAATAGCCTAAAATGAGACATAGCTGTTTAAACAAAAATGGTACTTTTAAAAATAGCAGTTTTTTCGAAAAGCTCTATAATATTTCAAAAATGTGAAAATGTGGTGAGCTTGTTTTTTTTAAGTTTTGAAAATCAGAGGTTCTTTACTGGATTCGTTCAGAGCTAGTAAAGTGCTCGTCTTGTTACATAAAATAAGGCATTTTGTAGCTGGTTATATAGTTATTTTGTAACTGCATATCTAACCCTTTTATTTTTTTCAGGAGGTTGTAAACATGTGGCTTCATAGAAGAAGTGAGGAACCATCTGTAACATCTACTCAGTGTTATTGATAATGATGTACACTTGGCTAGATTGTTAAAGAAACCTCTTCATCCACTACAGGAAAATAAATCAGTACTTTTATATTCTTAGGATTTGTATATATTTTTTATTTGTAAATAAATTGTTTTTTTTACTTCATTTTTCTCATTTTTTATTAAAAGGTTAATAAATAAAATTTTCACAGATTTTTATATTTTTGTTTGTAAACAATAATTGAAGTTTTTATTAAAAATCACCAATGTTAATAATAATAACTTAAGTCAATATTATTCTTTCTCCTTTTTTAAAGCTACTATTAATAAAGGTATTACTTTAGCTTGACCTATGATCAATTTTTAATTTTGTGATATATTTGGTTTGACAGAAAAAAAATTAAAACCCTTTGACATTGGTTGTTTTTACTTAGATTTTCATAAAAAATAAACGGAACTGCAAACATGTTTTACTATCGTAATAACGAATAGCAACATGAAATTTTTTTTTCACATTTATCACTGTTGTCATTTTCATAAGAAGGCACACTTTCTGGTTTTTTGAAAAAGGTGGCAAGAACTGTGATATTTTTAAATTTATCACCAGTGATACCACATGTAGTTACCCGATTTATTGGAATATATAGACTTTGCTACCACATTCAACTGAACTTGGTTTTTAATATTTATCACTGTGACATAGGCGTTTTTGTTAAAATGTTTCATTTTAAACTGCTGTAAATAGGTGCCTTTGTTTTGGTAGTTTCAGTCCCAAACAAATCTATGCATATACAGGTACTCATTCCTCTTCAATTTGCTCGAAAAGTTAAATTTTTATCAAAAATTACATTGGCTGTTTAAAAACTCATTATAATCCCTGAAATGTGATAATTAGGTAAATTAAATTAAAAAACAAAAAAGTTTATTAAATTAATATTTACTCTTACAAAATAGGTTCTTGTAAGTTAACAAGCAATTATGCAGATATTACTAAGTAAATGTACTTGCTTAAAATTCACACACGAATGTGGTTTTAACATGTTAAATTAACTAACCCTTCTTATAACTCTTTCCACATGTATTCTTAGAGATGCTATTCTTTTACTTAATTGTACATCTTCTTGAGAAGTTTTTTCATTCTGTGATACACTAGGTGTGGCTTTACTAAAGTGTATCCCATGTTTTCAAGTAGCTGATTATTCTGAAACCCCTATCTGCCATTATATGGGATCCAGGAACCAGTTTGTTTAAATACCCACATTTTTCCATTATTTCTTTATCACTAGTTCTTCCACAAAATGATGAATAAATTCGGTATCTTCAAAACTTTCAGGAGATTCTGCATTTTCTTCCAGAAGGGTTTTTAGGTTATACACCTAAGAATTTATAGTATCCTTATTTTCAATTTCCTGAAGGGGACAATTAGCAGAAATTGCTGCTACATCTTGATAATCCGGTGTATTTTTATTAAAAAGTTCACGAGAAACATCGCTAGTAGAAGGTTGATTTTCTTCTTTCCAAATTTCTAGGAACACTAATAAATATTTTTGAAGATGAATGTGAATCATTATCACATTCTGGAACAAAACACTTTTTCGTAGTCATAATATTTATAAAAAATACAAAATTAAACAATCAAATTCCAAACAAATTCTTGATGGAGACACTATGATGACAGATGCCATACACAGTGCTGCCATTTTGCCATTTTCTGAATTATTAAGTGACTTTTAAAACAATGAAACCTTAAATATGGTAAAAGTTTAAACAGAAATAATACTTTAAAAAAACATTTGATATTATATATTTAAAAGATATTTGTTTAACGATGTTTTAGAAGTCTAAAAGTAAGAAGGAGTACACAAACGAACGTACATCACTTCTCGTAAACCTTCTAGCCGGCAACGTTGTGCGCTAGCTCCTATTGGTCTATTCCCGGTGACGTCATAAATTTTAAAAAAATTCATAACTCCGGCAAATGAATAGATAAAAAAAAAATAAAAAAAATGTAATTTTATTTTCAACTCTATTATTCATAAAAAAAATTTCAAAATTTTTGAACATGCCCCATTCTAAAAATTTAAATAAAGCTCAATGGTAAACAGTAGTATCTCCAATAATAATAGGTAAAGGAAAATTAGGAAGAAACAATTAGAAATGGATCATTTAAAACTATCCTAATACACTGCAAAATGTCATAATTTATCATTTAATAAACAATTTTAGCGATATTGTATTCTTTAAATATTTTTTATCCTAACCTCTTTGTTGTTATTATTTAAAAAATATTTCTAATAAAATAATTCCCAACTTACCTCGAATATTAGGGATACCAGAGGGGTTATTACTAGGATCTCTTATAAGATTTAGTATTTTTTGGGCTCTTGTTAACATTTTGGGGCCTCTTGTTGACATTTTGTGGCACTCTATTTAACCGCCAACATGAACTATGGAGTTACGATTGTTTACCAATTTGGTATTTATGAAAACTTGACTGCGCATAATCGCATGTTGGATATACGATTTTTTACCTCTTTGCGAAGTGGATATACTATCGTTTCTAAACGTAGTATATCAGAACATAATAACAGACACGATTTTTTACCACTAAAAAAGTACGGACTCAGGTATTTTAGTCCATGCATTATCTCCATTTAATGAAAAAATGGAGATACTATCATTTATCACCAAAGTACAGATATGGTTGTACAGTTTTTATATCGACAAACGTTATTCTCGTTAGTTCGAGTGCATTCCGAGAATTTCTCGGTTCGCTCGATCTACATAAGCAGTTTCCGGATCTTACGAGAATTTACTCGCATTGCGACCGTTGACGCAAATCCCCTTTAAAAAGCTCACTGAAAAACCTTTGGGAATCGCTGGATAAAATAAATGTTGTTATTTATTTTTTATATATGGAAACAAATCCAAGTAAAGCCATTATTTTATTACATTCAAGCTTCGTTTGTTCGATGGTCACGTGACTTAAAATTGTACTCTGCACAAGGAGGTACATTTCAAAGGTAGCATATTTATATGTATGACACCGCGTTAGAGTTTAAATTAATCTAGAAATTAACATAATATGTCCGAATAGATTTGGCGAAATATTATGGTTTTGAAAAATGAGTATTCTTTCAGGCTTAGGGATCCGTTCAACCAAATTATAAATTATTTTTTTACACCCACATGGATATTGTACTTTACGCACAGACTACAAAACGAAAAAGTATGCCATTGCTTTCAACTGAACGAATATATTTCATATCCATTTTACCTGGTAAGAATACTGCAAAATATTAAATCCATCAATCACAGTTCATATTTTGGTCAAACGGCTACTATTATTTTTTAAAATTTTAAATAAGCCACAATTCTGTCAAACTGATACTTTTTAGTTATTGAGGTTAAATATACATTAAAATAAGTTATTCTTGTATAGAATCAATAAATAATAGCATTTCTATTTTAATTTCGTCTATATTTACAAAAAACAAATAAAACATAAATTTTACGATATTAACATGAAATAAAAATCAAATAATAGGAAGAAAACCTTTGATTTTGAAAAAAATCTGATTAAAAATGTGGGAGTTAAGGGGGGTTGAAATAAAAAAAAAAAACATAAATCAAAAACGAAAAGCGATATCAACATGAAATTTTTAATAATAATCAAGCTTTATAAGAGAATAAACCCTATTGATTCTAAACAAAATAGGGGGATAAGGGGGGCTGAAATATTGAAAAAAATCCTAACTCAGCAACAAAAACGATACCAAATTGAAATCTTAGGGAAAAATCAAGCTTTATAAGGGGATAAAGCTTATTGACTCTGATAAAATCTGAATAAAAATGAGGGGGTAAGGGGGGTGAAAATATTTTAAAAAATCTTAACTAAAAAACGATAAATAATATCAACTTGAAATTTTTAGCAAAAATTAAGCTCTATAAAAGGAAAATCCCTTTAAATTTTAAGAAATCCTAATACAAATGGAGGGTTTAACAAGGGTTAAAATAAGAAAATCATATCTCAAAAACAATTGATTTAAAAAAAATTGTGAACAAAATGGGGGGGGGGGGGTTAAAGGGCGGCTTAAATAAAAAAAAATAGAAATAAAATACCAAAAACGATATAAACATGAAATTTTTAGAAAAAACCAAGCTCTATAAGGGAATGAAGCATATTGATTTTGAAAAAAATCTGAATTAAAATAGGGGGATGACGAGGGGTTGACATAATAACTAAGAAATAAAAAACGATATCAAATTGAAAGTGGATGAGGCGTATTGATGCTGAATTTTTCTTATTGAAGATGGGGGTTAAGGAGGGTACGTGAAAAGTATAATATAGAATGCCAAGCATTATATATCTTCATTCTAGTTATTATTTGCTATGGCACTCTGGGACGATTGATGGTGCCATTTTATTTACAGGGAGGAAACCCCGGATAACCCCTTCTACAATTATTATTTTTATATATATTAGCTTATTTCCATACACAATACAATCTATTTTTATAAATGTGTTTACTAGTTTCTATAAGAAGTATTAGAAATTAAAAATTTAAAAAAAACCGACTGCAGATGCCATCACCACATCTTAACCAAATTTATATGCGACCACCCCTGAGGTACCCCCTTACTAACAAAAAAATAATCATAGAAATCGGACACCGTGTTAAAGAATTATCTCTGCACATACATAAAAAAAAATATTGCGACGAATTGAGAACCTCCTCCTTTTTTGACGTCAGTTAAAAAATACTCCTAATATAACGAAAATATTATTCTCTAAAGATTATTATCTAATGAGTTTAACTTTAAAACAAATTTTATTATTATAAATTATTTCCAAATATGTATCTATATTTATTATCTTTAAGAAAGTTACTATAATATCACAAACATTACATAACAAAAATAAAATATTAAAAAGAAAATATGTTAAAAAAAATATTTCTTTTATGTATGTATTTGCAATTATTTTCCTTCATAGCTCTTTCCATAATAATATCCTTAGATATATCATCTAATTTATAAAATACTACCCTTTTATATTCATTAAATTTCTGTAAATAGCATATATTTTCCTCACACTTCGTCAGTATTTTTAAATTCGCGCCTATACAAACTATACGCGTGACGTCATGCGCGTGGCCGACCTATTTTTAACACATTTGATATCCTACCTTTTATTTTTTATACCATGGTATATACGCACTTCGTATATTAAATTTTGAGTAAAAAAAGTTATATTATTTAAAAACATAAAATAGAAATGAACCTTATGCTTCTGCCAAAATTGTTGCACTTTACCATTGAACGAATTAAATTTAACCAATAAATAACAAGGAGGATTATATGTTGTTAACGAGATTAAACTCATTTTTAATCTCTTGGCATTTAAAGTAACATTTCAGTACATAAAACCAAAGATTAAACAAAATAAGAAGTTCAAGAAGTATCTTTAAAAGTCACTGTCTTCACTATAACTACTGGTATCATTATCATTGTCTTTTCTGAGGTTTATGTTAAGTTTTCCATTGCTACATCCACTTTCCAAAATTAATTTTCCACCTTTTTAACACGTTTATGGACAGTAGGAAAAAGTGATTGGTGCCAAAAATGACACTGGTACTTTTGAACAAATTAGGGCTCGGATTGCCATCTTAAGTATAGTAAACCGCTCAGAATTTGAAAAAAATTAAAAAAATTTGATTTACAGGAATTTGAAAGTTGACACCGACACATTTGAAAAGGGAAAGTTGCTGTGACACCGGCAGACATCTTGTTAACGTTTTTATATAAATCAGAGGCATAGCCCCCTTTGAATCTCTAACATGTTAAGGTAAATATTTTTATGACGCACCAAAATCTTTTTTATTCAATTTTTTGGCAAATAAAATATTTCAAAATAGAGAAATCTCTCTACCTTTCTGGATGCGCCACTGAATAAAGCACCAAAGATATATTAAAAATTGTGTTATTCTTAACTAGCAGCTCAACCAAAAGGTGAAAACATAAATAAAAAACACGGAGAAGATGTCACGTGTAACAAAGTTATGACCATATAAAAAATGACGATATAATTTTATCGGTCTCAAATGTGGCAGAAACTATGCCCATACCCGTTTAATATGAGTTTATTAGCGATATTAATTTGAACGCCGGACGGCGTTCTGCCATATTTGGCATGCCAGCGAAGACGCCTATCGGCGTCACTGTCCATCAACAACATGATAAATGCATTTTCACCAATGTTCTCCATTTACATCTGAAACTGCCTTTAAATTTAAATGTTGTATTTCTTTGTGTCATCGGCATCAACTACTAAGGTTATTAGCCTCGTGTTCTGTGTAGTCTTTGTTACTGTTTCCCAGCGCCACTTTAGGAACAGCACTGTTAATTAGAACCCAACAGTGAATGGTCGAATGGGGAATCCCACCAAAGCATTAGGATTAATTTTAAATAATTAAATTAAATAAAAAAATCCCGGCCAACAGTGGGATTCGAACCTTGGACCCTTGGATCCGCAGGCAGAGACTCTACCACTGAGCCACCCACCCCCCTAAATGTTGTATTGTTTCGAGAAACATAACCTTTTAATTGTGACCAGATTAGTTCAATGGGATTTAACTCTGCGTGATAAAGAGGCAATCTGAGAATTTCAATTCCTTTTTCTCGGGTCATCTCGTCTATAATATATTTTTTAAATTTGTTTTTACATTGTCTTGCTATCACGAGTAATTCTGTCTTCAAGGATTTAGGATTTAGGAGGACAGAAGACATTTTTTAATAGCTTCTATTTCCTTTAATCGACTGCGATAAGATGCATTATCCAAAACAATAACGAAGTTGGCTAGAATTTATTTTATAATGTTCTGAAACCAATTTTCAAACATTGTTTCTGTATGTCCAGCATTAACCCATGTTTCATTTTAATAAAATACCTGTTTATGCCGATTCCTAGCGTCCACTATTTTCCTTAAATAATCATGTCTCCATGTAATGATTTCGTCGTTCTCTGTTAAAAAACTGTTTTTGTCACGTTTTGTAACGAAAATTTAATTCATGCAATATGTTTTGCATAAGAAAATATGATACATTTGTAAGAGTGGGGCTAGTTTCTATTTCTAAGTGTATTTTTTTTATATGTAGGAATTTATTTCGAATGAAAAAGGTCTTGTTTTTTCCTGGGGGCCTTTTCGGATGTGAGACTTCTCTAATAAATGTATCTTCTTTAATAATGTTATACACTGTCCGCTTAGATACTCCAGTATAATAGGTCTCACATTTAGTGGCTATTTCATCCACAGAAAGTAAAACAAAGTCTTTTCGAAGATTATTAAATACATTAAGTACGATATTTTTTTCTTCTAAAGATAATGCTTTATGTCCAGTAGGTCGTTTATACACTCGCAATTCTTGTGATTATAATTATTATATATACTAACACAAAATTCCGAATCAATTAAAATTTATACGGTAGAGCTATGAATA